TAATGACCTTTTCTATTTTTTTTTAAAAAAGAAAAAAAATCGCTTCAAAATATTCACCACTAAGAACAATATTGTAGTATCTATTAGAGTTTTATATTTTATGTTTCAGTCATTTGGACGCAATACGCAGCCATTCTGATAGAGAATAGCTTAAACTCATTTCTTACTCAAATTCTGAGTTGTTGATCCTTTTCATATCCTTGAAATTCTTCCGTTCAAGACGAATTCTTTTTCACTGTAGAATATCCGTATTCAAATCGTACTTTCTGTATACAAATTATTCACATAAATAGGGCTTCAATAAAATCGGAGCCCACCGAAATCAAGCACTTTAATTTAATAAAATTTCTGAGAGAAATCATAAATCTACATGCAGCAAGCAGAAACCTCTAACAAGCACAAGCTGCGGTACCATCTTATGTAACTGAATCACAGTATTTTACTAGGAGGAAATTCCTTTTTTATTGCAATACTGATACTGATACCAGATATTGAAAGGATGACACTCTTTTATTGGGAAGAGAAAAATAGCACAAGGAAGTTTGAACAGCTGAGAAAAACATTTTCCGCCCCTTCAGAAAGAGGAATTTTTCTATGCTGTATTCATCTGCTGAAGAAAACAGTTGCTGGACTAATTTTTCTCTGTAAATAGATGTTATTGTTGTTGACTGACGCTCATTTGTCTGACCTAGAGCTACTAGAGATACAGGCTGACTCGTCAGCGATTTTGAATCTAAGCTTTAGGGTTGCAATTTAGGTGTGGAGCGGCAACTTTGGCTCTTTAGCGCTGTCCGCTAAAATTTAACATTCCTAGAGAATCCGAATTTCAGCTTTTTTCTGCACTCCTATAAAGATGTGTGGCTTTTTCCCCTTCTTTTGTCTGCAGTACAGATTCTTTCTCGTATTTTTTTTTTTTTATTTTTTTTTTTTTTTTTAAATTGCCAAATTTCTCGTATGATTCAAGTTATTTTAAAAGTTTCTAAAACATTTTCACATATCATATTTCAAATTTGTATTTTTAGTTAAAAATGCTTTCTTTTTGAATTCCTTTATTGAATTTTCAATTTTTTCTTTTAAATACACGCATAATGTTATTTATCTCAAAATGTATTTTTTGACAAGAGCTTTCCCTCAACCACATTCTTAATATGGTTGAGGGAAATCCCTCAACCTCCATTAATTTAGGATAAGGTTTAATCTTTAATTTTTTTGTTTTTTATTTTTAAATATGTTATTTGAATTTTGCTCACATGGAATCAAACGTCTATTACTGTAGCAAATTTGTTAAAAATGTTATTTTGTGTGTGTTTTTCCAGAAAAAGCTGCTAAACACTTTATGATTTTAAATACTGATTCAAGATATACACCTTTAAATTATAATGCTTTTAGAATGAAGTGCAGAATGCTATAAAAATTACTTCAATGCTCAGATGACTGTGGGATTCATAGATTTAATAGAGTAAAAAATTCCATTAATTTTTTTTTTTTTTTTGTTCTTTATTTAGCTATAAACAATATTAAAATAATACACACACAAATAAATAAAAATAAAAATAATACCTTTACATACAGAATTTACAGATACTATTTACTTATAAGTTTATTTGTTGTTGATGGTTACTTTTTATTATACTTGGAAAAATTATACTTACATACATATGCTCTTAATATTACACATATCTGAATATTTAAATGATAATTCCATAACATAATAAGATTCAATCTATATCACAGCAAAGACAATACTTAAATCACAGTTCTTTTTATTAATTAATTTGCATAAGTAAAAACATAAAAATATTATTTAGCTTCAAATCTATAAAATAAGTCCTCTAGTAACAAACATATGACAAACACATATAGTGAAAATAAAGATAAATAAATAAAAATGTTTTGCTTTTTGGTCTAATGTAGTGCAATTCAGTCTATTATATTCAAATTTTATTAAAACATACTGCAGTAATTGAATTTTTTCCATTATACATCAAACAGCTTTATATAGAATGATATTATATTAGTTTTACTTTTAAAACTAATATAATATAATTAATTCTCATTTATATGCGGAGATGTTTGAATAAATGCAAAAAACCATCTGAATAAATTTTAGCCAACACTATTCAGATAGTATTCTTGTTTTCAAGGTATATCATTTTTATTTTGTTCTTTTTCCATTAAAGGAGCTAACCTAAGACCACAAAGGTTCGATAATATTCAGGTCTGGTGACTGTGGTGGCCAGGGGAGATGGGACAACTCATCCTCGTGCTCAGAAAAACCAGTCCTGGACAATGTGAGCTGTGTGAACAGGGGCTTTGTCGTCTTGGAAGACACCATCACCATCGGGGAACAAAGTTTGTACCATGGGATGAACTTGATCGGCCAAAATGTTCACATAAGTCTTGGCAGTCATGTGCCCTGACACAGTTCATTTGGGGTTAGCAGAGAACCACGATATGGCTGCCCAAACCAGAACAGAACCCCCGCCATGTTTCACTCTTGGCAACAAACAGTCTGTATTATAGGCTTGAGATGGTGTTCTCCAGACGTAAACTCGGCTAGAAGTGGGAAACAATGTGAAAGAAGACTCGTCAGACCATATTACTCGCTTCCACTGCTCTATAGTCCAGGCTTTATGACTTAAACACCACCTTTTCCTGTTACGGGCATTAGCGTCACTGATGAGTGGCTTCTCAATTGCAGCACGGCCAGCAATTCCCTGTTTATGAAGCTCCCTTCTAATTGTTTTGGTACTCACAGGGTTCGGTAACACAACATTCATTTCAGCAGTAACTTTTGCAGCTGTGGTCTTCTTATTTTTCGTCACAATTGCCCTTAATGATCGTCTGTCACGATCACTCAGGACACACTTTCGTCCGCCCTGTGATTTAGCAGATGATGTTTTTCTGCTTTTCAAATATGCGGAATAAATCTTCGATACAGTACCTCTTGAAACACTAAACACCTCGGCTACCTTGCTTACGGAAGCACCTACCATACGTGCTCCAACAATTTGCCCACGTTCGAAGTCTGTTAACTCTGACATAATGCAATGACAACCTCACATAACAGTACTCCGACAACAACTGAACTGTTTAGCACATTTACGAAGTTGTATAGGTGGCGTCAGTAGTCAAAAACGCCAGCGCCACCTACATTTCATTAAAATCAATCTTTCTTTTCAAACATGCATTTCACAAGGTGTTTCCATATTTTTGTCCATCCACTGTATCTCATTGATATATTATAAATATAGCTTAAACATGTTTTATGTGCATACCCAAAGGGGGTGGGAAGTAAGCCTTGATTCAAAATCTGTTTTAAAGCAATAAGTAAATAAATAAAATACACTGGTTCTATTAGAATGTCAAAAAATACTGTTATGTATTCTATAAACAAATCCAAATTATCACATCATACTATATAACCCTGGTACAAAAGAAGAAATGTCTGATTAGGAACATACTCTATTTATTTGGTAAAAAAGAAGAGTAAAACATATGCAACATCCCATTATGAAAAATCCTGCAAGCCATTACAATACTATAAGACATTGATTAGTAAGGTAAACATCAGTTGATCATTCTTTCACAACAGCAATAAATGTTTCATTTAAAATTCCTAATAACATGCCAAAACAGATTCACAATTGATGCCTCATTTAAGGTCACACAAAAGTAAATCCGATTTAGCTGACTATGAGATCTTCTATTGTAGAGGACTTTCTAAGGAGAACTGGCTTGTATTCACATTACACATGGGGAAAAACCACAAAAAAACCAACCATGCAGCCAGCCTGTTCGGAAATAGAACAGAAGATGGAACTCCCAGCATTCAGTAACTTTAACCATTCAGCTGTTGGTGGGCCTAATTATTATTCGAAGAGACAAACAGCAATTTTTCAGTGACAACTACTCTACTTTTTTACAGACAGAACTGAACAGCAAAAACTTCTTAAACTCTTGATTAGATTCTAGTTTACTTTCTTCCTTTTAAAAGCAGGAGATGCAAAACTTTGCCGCTGCTGCCTTTTATTTTGAAGAAGCTTCTTGAGACCAATTCCACGGGCAGTCAAATAATATTTTATTATCTTTGTTTTGATATTGCAACAGGAGGGAATATTTACCTCGCCTGCTTTCTTACAAATCATATTAACAAATTCCACACATCCATAGTTACATTTCCATGTATTATTTCGTCTCGAAAATTTTGAATTATTTTTTCACACAGAAGGCACAATTTAAAAATTTCTGGAGAAGGACATTTAAGCCCACCTAAATTTGCAAAATTAATTATGTACTGCTTATTTTCATCAATGGAAGGAGTATTTTTGCTCACAAACTAAGAGAAACTGTGAGCATGAATTACAAGCATTTTTCAAAACAGAATTTATTGCAGCTCCTGCAATATAACAGACGTTATTTTCCTCACTAAAGGGTGAGATTCTGTAGAGATACATCAGAAACTTCTGGTATGGTAACACAGGCTCTAAAGCTTTTTTTCTCCTTCAGAAATTCAAATTCATCTTTCGCATAGTTTAATAAGTAAATATCTGAATCAGTAGCATAACTGGAGTTCTTAATGTCAGATATAAACTGAGATAAACAGATAAGCTTTAATGCTTTCACAGCTTGCAAAGCACTTGGCCTCAAACCAGCTTTTCTGCGTATCTGAGAAAATACATTTTCTAGAGCATCTTGTGTCAATCTGCTCGTCAAAATAAACTGAAAATCATTCAGAAAACATGCCTCTGCTAACTGTATGGCTGATAAAGTAGAAAGAATCAAACCAGTATGTAATGGTTTCCACCCTTTACCAATTTCTATAAGCTGTATAACATTAATAAATTCAAAAAGTAACTCAATTTTTTTGCTTTTATTTGTCACAGAAATTGAGTTCTTTCTACATCTAGAGGATAGCATTTGAAACCACTGACATATAAATCTTATCCACCATGCTGTTGTAAGAGCATTAGGGCTTATCTCTTTTAAAGCTACTACTGCCTTCTCCAATCCCACAGCTGTTTTAATTGGAAAAAAACCTCACAGCAGAAGCAACATTCATTTTATCAAAATGTGAGGGGAAGAGGTCTTCTTTGCTGAGATGATGCATAGTTCTCAAACCACAATTTTGGTTTGTTTCAGTAATCCAGATATCTTTTATAAATCCTGCAGATACATGCAAAGTAACCAAATTTTCTTTATTGCAAACATAACTGGGCAGTTTTATACTATGATTAAGAGTTGCAGACCAGAGATTTTTTAAAAGATGTGGCACATCTGCAAATACATAAATAATTTTGCCCTTAATTTCAGTAGTGAAATTATTTCTTTGGTTTCGAGAAACAGATATTCCCAAAGAATTCCACAGGCTTCTATTTACTGCTGCCATATCGCTAACAATACCAACAACATTAAATCCAACAGAATTGACAGCTTCGATAACATTGACAACAAGTTGTTTGAGCTGGCATCCTGTTACCTGTCCAGTTATCTCATGGGCAACCACTTGCTTCCATTTCAGCTTCAAACCTCTTAGTAAAATAACTAAATAGTGATTTCCTGCACCCTTTTGATTTCCTAATGTACATTTACCAATAAATTTACGTTTTGAAATATCAAAATCAGGATTGCCAGAAATCTCCATTTCATCCAATGATAAAATACAGTCTTTATCACTAGCATTCATTTTTTCTCCTTTAATTTTCAAAGGTTCAATCATCTCACTGATGACTCCAAAATTCATTTCAAGACCTTGAAGTCTTTTATTTAAAGTGCTGTATGAAGGCACGGAAAACCTATTCTGTGCAAGTAATTATAACCATGCTTGCCCAAGGCAAATCTAACTTTGAGGCCTTTTATTATTCCCTCGTTAGACCATTTTGCAATGCTTCTACGAGGAATTTTCAACATTGCTATTTGTTCATCTGAAAGAAATGTTTTCACTCCTTTCAGCAATTCCTCATGCTGTACTTGAAGGTCATGAAGTTGAATTTCAGTGCTATGCCATTTTTTTAAAACATTAATTTCATTTTTTTTGGTTGCTGTAAGTTCTTTCAGTAATATTTTGTTCTGGCATTGCAGAAGCGAGATCAATTCAGTCTGCTGTTTTATAAAATTCCTTAAAAGAACATCCTGGAATAAAGAAAAAATCTATATGAATAATCATCAAAGAAGGGGGGGAACACAACAAACAAACAAAAAAGATCTGAAAGGTTTCAGATTTTAAATTACACCCAAAGGGGCCTTTTTTTTAACATTTTGTGTTTTACCTTTATTTATTAAATATCAAGTTTTTCACACTTAAACTATAAAATTCAGTTCAACAGCAATATTGCAAGATAATTTTAAAATGAACATATCTTCAGAATTCCCGATTCATTGTCTCACACGCTGGAGATAAAAGTGTCTTTTCTGTACAACATTGCCATTGCTCGCTTTGAAATCCTCAAGTTTGTTAATCAAAAATTCGTTAAAGTTTTACAACATATAAAATATATATTAAAACAAATTCCGAATTTCAAATTCGGTCTTCCAGATGTCCATATTCACAGTAGAATTAAGTCATTCAAAATTTGATGGCTCTAGGTACCGTTGTTTTATCAGAATGCAAAAAACATACATGCATTTATGCAGATTCTTCACTATATAATTTCTTTAAATATAGTACAGGGTGATAATATTTGGTGGCAACAATTTGAAAAGTGATGCAGCCGTTTATAGTGTTTCAATACAAAACGAAAACAATAGTCCTTCAGGGACAAAGCCCCTTTGGATTAAATGTCCAAACTTAAACAGATAATAAATCCACAAAATAAAAATGCAAGTTCCAGGTCTCTTTTCCTATACTGTGGTGGGTTTTTAAATTTGACTCTATTGTTTTCAGCATTTTCTAGATTATTTTTGTTTTATTTTCTAATATTTAAAATTTATTTCACTTAAAAATAGATTTTTAAAATTTATTTCCAGCTTTTCAAGGGATCGATTATCTCCATAATCATGAGCAATTTAATAACACAAATTATCAACTTATATCACAGCCTTCACAAATGCTGATGAAATTAATTAAAATTAATTACAATTTGGTTGCAAGATGAATCTAAAGGTTGTTTTTTTGCAAACAAAACTGAAATTTACATAGAGAATTTGCAACTATTGATGAAATTAATTACATTCCTTTTACCAAAAAATTACTTTATAGAACATTTTAAATGCATATAAGGAAGTAATTTAATTATACATTAGTTATCAACTTACATCAGAGCCTTCACAAATAGATGGTATTTCATTGCAAAATGAGGCTAAAGGCTGTTCTTGCAAACAAACCTGAAATGTACACAAAGAATTTGTAAATGCTGATGAAATTAATTACATTCCTTTTACCCCCCCCCCCCAAAAAAAAGTTAATAGAAACGTTTTGTATAAGCAAGCAATTTAATAATACACTAATTATCTACTTACATGAGATCCTTCACAAATAGATGGCATTTTATCACAAGATGAAGTTGAAGCTTGTTCTTGCAAACAAACCTGAAATATATATATAAGAAATTTAGAAATACAGATAATATAAACTACATTCATTTTAAGAAATAATTATTTTACATAACATTTTATAATTCATAAATAGATAATAAATTGTTAACACTCAAAATTCAAAAATAATTCCATAGCACAACAGCCAGATATAGTACAGCTGTTTAGCAACCATAAGACAAACAATTTCATATTTCAGAAATCGTATAAAAATTCATTAATATATGTAAAACATATGACATTTAATAGCTGCTCAAATGAAAACATAGAATAGATTCTTTACTAGCAGCTGTTATTTAATCAGAAGGTAATGCTAAATGTTGTTGCAAACACACCTGAGATGTACTGTAATGTACACATTTGCAACCACTGGTGAAATGAAATAAAGTGCATGATTATGAAGATGGAAACATTTAAAAAAACATAGTACAGTTTACGAATAGATGTTAAAAAACTATTAAAATTTTTTAGAAGTGCAAAATGGCAATTTACATCAGATACTTCGGCAGCAAAATTTATTTCTCCAAAATATGAAGCTGAAGGTTGTGCTATAATATATGAAATATGTGGAAGTGAAAGAAATTATAAACTCTGATCGGATAAAAATAAATACAAATAATCATTACCATTTTCAAAGTAACTCAACTTATAAAAAAACATAAATACATTGGACTGTTCATAGCATTCATACTTCTTAAACATAAGTAAATATTACGTTAATATATTTTTAAATTTGGAAACAGTGTTAATACTTTTTAGAAAAAGTTTATAATACTAAATATTTAATAACTGTTCAAATGAAGACTTACAACAGATGGTTCAGCAACAGAAATCGCTTCAGTTGATAAAGGTAAACTGTGCAGCAAGCCACCCTGAAGATGCAAAAATTATGAAACACATATAAGTAAGGATACCTGAAAATGCTGATAAATAAAATATACTTAATGTAATTTTAATAATAAATAATATAAATAATCCTAATAAGTTTTGTAAATCTTTAAACAAAAAATAACAACATTCAGACAAGACATATAAGACATTAAAATATACATTTAAATCAATGTATTATAACTATATTATTGTATTACTCAAGATTAAAGTTATTAATTTCAATATTATTTCTTTTACTTACTCCATACATATTTCTCTCTATTTATCTGGAATTTAAAATTAAGCAAAAAAGCAACTTTAGTTTAATACAAATTTTGATTTAAACTCTTTTGACTTTGAAGGCAATCAGATACCGGTTTCTTTCTTTTAGGAGCAAATTTGAAGAAACCAGACCCATGTATGACCGTCCTCGAAAAACTACAAAAACTTTATCCAAAAACTACATCAAATTGAGGTTTTATGCTTAATTTTCAATATATGATTATAATAACAAAGTACATACTTAATTATATATATAACAACAGCAAAATTTTAATTTTTTAATCTAATCTTAGGGACTGTAATTACAGCTTTATCACATAATGCCTTAATTTCAATATTTTGATTCTTTTATAAAGCAATTTAGTCCATTTGTAATAAAAACATATTTTTTTATGAAAAACCATAAAAATAAAAAACACATACATTACAAAAATTGGATGTAACTGAACGGTGCTTTGGTAAACCAATGCCTTTTAGACGCTGTGGGGTCAACAGTTGTGGGGGATTAGGCACATTGAAAAGAGTTGGCACAGCATTGGGCTTGAGTTTTTTACGCCCATCTTGCCTAGAGCATTCAAATTGATTTTTCTTCAAAATGTACCTGCATATTTAACAAAAGCATGCATGAAATTTAACATTAAAATCAAAAGCACTAGTATTAAATTACAGTTACATATATTATAATAAATTTAAGAATGTAATTTTCTGATAAATTTAAAATTTTTTTTATGAAAATAGAACAAAATTTTTAAAAAGTAATCATGTTTGTAAAACTACTTAAAACATATTTCCTGCTCACACACTAAAAATAAATTTAAAGTACCTATAGTTAAAAATACAACATTAAGATTTACTACTACAATAAAGGATAATAATGGGATCAAAACGATTCATCGAATATTTAAATTAATATTTAACTTCTTAAAAATGTCTAAAAATACAGAATATATTTATCTTACTATAAAGAAAAAACAAAATCATTTATTATTTGGATCATACCATCCAGTTTTTAACATTGGCGCCAACTATCCGATTTGGCGACAATACATCAGAATCAAAACATAGAATGCTACTTTAAATCACCAATCGTACAGTAAAATTAAAGAAAAGAAAAAGGCACATCACATTTCTAACTGAGCACAAAGTTTACATGAAATGTATGATACAAATTTTACAAACGGTATAAACTTTTCACGATAACAAAAGAAACAACGATATTTTACTGCACAAACACATACACATTCCGCAGTTGATTTTGTACTTATAAAATCAGTTGATCGTCAATAAGTGACAGTTAAATGAAAATAAATATTTTAAAGTACCAAGAAGAGTAATTTTTCTAACATTCTATGGAAAAATACGAAGCTGAACTTACCTCACAAAGATACGCTCCTGGGCCCGGGATCCATTGATCTCGACGAGAATTAACTATCCATTTTCTTCGTCTTTCTTCATTTCTAGGGAAACGAAACATCCTAAAGTTATTTTTAGACTGATTCGAACAATTTGGTGCAGCACAACCACCCATTTTTCTGAAAATTAGGTCGAAATCGATCCACAAATATGTCAAGAAATCAGTGCTAATCCAATAGCGAATACCAACAAGTTAGCTTCAAAATGGATGATGATTCAGCTCCCCTTTATAGTAGCCTTAGTCTGACCTATAGTCAGCCCTGGCCCATGAAATTCCTTGTGGCAAGAAGCGCAGGATTACGTCTGTCGTTGGCAACAGCCTTGAGCACCTTACAAACGACAGTATGACAGTTCCTCCCCCAGTTTTAATGAAGATTACCTCGGAGAAGGGATTGGTCCAAGGATCTCCCACCTCCTCTCTTCCTACCACAACCTCTCGAAAGGTCTTCCGCCTCGCCGCATGTTTAGAGTGCCCCTATGTCGCAAAGACACTACAGATTTACAAACATCCGTGTCTTATCCGGGATTCGAAACCCGAGCCCTTCTTTACGGCAGTCAGCCACGCTAACCACTATACCGGTTGGGCGACAGCCCTCTGTAAATAGTAAAAGAGACCAAAGTAAAAGCAAAAGCTAAGAAACCAAAAAGAATTTAAGTATTCATAATTCTTTAATATCTAGAAATGCAATCCTTAATCTAGTTTTTAACATTATTTTAAAATATTGCAAAGGAAATTATTCTAAATGATGAAACAGGGGAAACAGAGGCTAAAGAGAATTAAAATGCATGACATGAAATAGATGATAAGAGGAGGACTTCGATTCAAATAGCGACAAGGCTATTTTCAAGCAATGAACGATCGAAGTCCTTCCCTTACCGTTTTTCTAGCTAATAGAGTATCAAAAATTGTGCCTCGAAAGCAAAATTTATAAATATCTGATTGTGGGAAGGGGGGCATAGCCCTCAGCGTGTAGAGACATTAGGTTATTTCGAACCAGAAGACACGAAAAATGAGCAATGCTCTCGCCGGGACTGGATCCTGAACCTCTCCAATCCGCGCGGAGGGACCATTACACCACGAAGCCAAGCTAAGAAGGTGGGAGAAATACCTTATATACGCCCCCTTTTAAAGGGCGACTGTGGATTAGGGGACCCAATCGCCAAAATCCTGGTGGTGAAGGATCATCATCCACCACCATTTTTAGTTCGGGCTCCACTGTAGAGACATTAGGTTAGTTGGAACCAGAAGACTTGAAAAATGAACAATGCCCTCGCAGGGACTCGAACTTTGGATTTCTCGAACACGCGCCGAGCGTGCTGACCACTACACCACGAAGGCATGTTAAGAAGGTGGGAGAAATACCTTACAAGCGGTTGTATTGGAACAATATTTTCTCTCAATGTAGAGACCTACATGAAGCATGCATAGATAATATCAGATGCAAAGAAAAGAAATCATTTTGTTAGCCAGCATCACATATACATAAGAATAATTTCAGATACTCATCAGTTTCAAAAGACATTAGAGTAACTTCGTGGTGTTTAAGATGCAACTGAAATTTCAAAATACAAGATAAAAGAATCAACAGTGTATTATCCCCTGGAAAGCTTGAAGAAGCGACTAAATATGTAATTAAGTTCTTCAAAAATAATAATTCAAGCTTACGTACGACTAATTTAAAAAAAATCTTCCCATCTTCCTCAAAAAAAAAAAAAAGAAAGAAAGAAAACTTATTCCTTGATAGCAATGGAATTATTAGAGTAGGAGGACGATTAAAAAACTCGAACTTGGACCAAAATCAAAGAAACCAAATTCTTCTACCAAGAAGAATTTCATTTCATACCTTAATGGTTCAATATTTTCACAAAATTCATTTACATAGTGGTCTTCAGCTTACTTTGTATTGTATGTGTCAAAAATATCGGATATCTTCTAGAAGAGGGATGTAGTTCGATGAAATTTATCTAATTGTTTGACTTGCTTTCCAACAATGCAAGTCGCAACCAGACAATGCCATCATTGAAGATTTGCCTTCCCGTACATTTGGTATTGGCAGAACATTTCTTAATGTTGGATTTGCTTTTGATAAACCATTTATAACAAAACCTAATGTGACCCGCAGTAAAGTAAGAATTAAATCGTACTTTCTTTCTCTTTCTATTTGCTTTCCCTCTAAAGATTTTCACCTCGAGTTTCAGCTTTATCAACTGATCAGATTTAACAACATTAAATTTGTATTGCTTGATAGCGGAACGAATTTTCGAAGAGCAGAAACCTATATTAAAAGCTCAATCAGTGCCTCTTTATTCTGCTAAAATTCAAAATTTTAGTAGCTCAAGAATCTATTTTATCGCACCTTTAACTCCACATTTCGGAGCCTGGAATCAAGTCTGAGTAGCAACATTTATTCAAAGTTAACTCTTGAGGAATTTACACTTTACAGATAGTAATACAGATTGAAACATACCTTAATTTTAGGCCTTTGGCTTCTCTATCTTCATATCATCAGGATTTAGTATCTCTTACTCCAAGACATTTTAATATGTGCTCCTGTAACACCGTTTCCTGAGAAAGCTCCAAAAAATCGCTTTGCTTAAAAGTTAAGATGACATTTATTTTATTCAGAAAAATAGTTTTTAGCGAAAAGGCAAAAAGAATATCTGAGTCAAATGCAACTAAGATAAAAGTGGACTTTACGTGAAAAGAATATTCAAGTGAATGACTGTAAATACTATCTCAGGGAAGATTCTATGTTTCCTTTGAAATGGAATCTTGGAAGAATCACAGACGTTTTTCCTCGAAAAGACGGAGTCATTCGAGTTGCTGAAGCAAAGACGTCGACTGCACTCTATCGACTTCCAATTTTCAAATGCCGTCTGTCTTCTTACTACGTAATCACCCTAAACTTTAGAGTTCAGCCGTGGTGAGATATTTTAAGCTTCAAAATACTTTTATATCTTAGTTTAACATCTTCATTTATTTGTGCAGAAAATTCTAAATGAATGAATTTCAAAATTTGCCTACGTATTTCGACCAATATTTTCGAATCAGAAAATATAGCCAAAATCGAGGCAGACTAAAGAAAGTTTATTCCGAAATTTCTCAAAGATCAAAATCTTGTAACATGAAGCGTCTCGTTACAGGTATGGATTAACAAGTTATGCTTCTCAAAAATGTTTAATAAAGAGTGGGAAAAGGACTGCTGCCTGAAATTGTAAAACTTGCTGCAAGTGCAAGTTCGTTGAAACTGAAGAAACTCTCCATTTGGAATGTATTCAAACTACTATAACGATTTTACGCGCCGAGACATTACTAGTCTAGCTGTATGGATGATGCAAAATTAATGCTTATGTACACAAGCTTCTTATACATGACACCACCAGCATCAAATCCACTGCACTGCCTATAGGACAATTGCCCGAAAATATTGTAGAGGTGAGCAATAAAAACATAAAAATCTCCGGCCTTTTTTCCTTAGGGACAGAGCGGGAACATAAAGCCTTTAAACAAGAGATGATTGCCATAATTGATATTCGAGACTTCTTACATGGAGCCTCCATGGATCAAGCTGATTACCTCTAAATTGGTGACAAAGGATAATAGTTATTAAGTCGTTTCCTGAATTATTAAAAATGCCTAGTTTTCAGCTATTTTATTCTGTTACTGTAAAATAAATATCAGAAAAGTATACATTTTTATTTTTAAAAAGTGTCTTAAAAAGCAAATATTAACTCTGCAACTAAATAAAATTCTAAAAATATATTTTTGCTGATAATTTTTACGACATATTTTTGGATTATTACTCCCTTTTAAAATAAAGTTTTATATTTTCCACTTGAATTCGACCAGCTATATCGCCTGTTTCTGGAAAAGGTTTGCTCCATTCATCTCGCATAACATACTATATTTTATTACTAATTTCTATTTTTGTTTAAATTTCTATTTTTTGTTGTATTTTGACTTTGAATTTTCTAATTTTGTTTAAATCTGGTTGATAGGTCTTTAATCCTGAGTCCTGTGAGATGTTTTGATTTGTCAGGACAATTATACAATAGACAGAATTACAAATTCCTAGCAGCGTCTCAAGGATAATCTTAGTCCAAACTGCAAATCGTTACATATGGTTGAATTATAAAATTATTTTGTGAGTTACTTTGTGAGTTTGCG